CCCAATCGTGGAGAGAAGCGCATCCGATAAGGAGGAAGTAGACATCACGTCAATTTTCTTATAGGTGGGCCCCACCGCTTTTTCCTTCGGCCAATGGTAAGCCAACACGTGGCAGAAGTTGTCGGCCACTTAAGGAGCTGCGCGAGATTGTCTGCTCCGTGATTACATGAGCTCTGTTTTCTCCTCCAATTGCGCGCTGACATGTGGCTTCTTTGAACGAATGAATGAAGGTTCACCACGTGGATCCCACTTAAGAAGCACGCTAATCATTAGGAGTGTTCAAAAAAACTGAAAAATCATCAAATCGACCGAAAAAAATTGAAAATTCAGTTCCACGTTAACAAACCGACTAATTCAGTCGGTAAACCGACCGCCCATGGTTCATGGGCGGTTCGGTTTCGATTATGCCAGCCGAGGTGATCGATTAAACCGAACCGACCGACCACCTTATACTCTATTTAAAAAAAAAAAAGATTATTATCCATAGATTCAAACCTCTAATCTTGTAGATGGTGAATATAAGTCCATCATATTATTGAAGATGGACGTTGAAAAGAAGTTAGATTTTTCTAACTTGTAAGTTGTGATGAAAAAATGAAATACACAGCCATTTATATAGAATAGTTGATGAAAGACATTCTCATCTCTTTTTAATGTGGAACTATTAAAAGTCTAATGTGTTTGAAAATTTAAGCACATCAGATTTTTGAAAGTCCCACATTGAAAAGAGATGAGAATGTCTCCCTTCAATTATTCTATATAAAGGGTTGTGTATTTCATTTCTCCATCATAATTTACAAGTTAGAGAGGTCTAACTTCTTTTAAACGTCTATCTTCAATAATATGATGGACTTCAATATAAATAAGTTTTTTAATTGAGATTAGATGTAAAGCTTTAGTCCTTAAGGGTACATTCTTTTAGGTTTTATTTTTATTTTTATTTTGTCTTTTAAGCCATTTTTCCTTTTTAATTTTAACTATTTAAATATTAAATATTTAAATGGTTAAAATTTAAGAAAAAAATAGTTCACAAAAAATTTTTTAAGTAAAAAACCGACCAATAAAAATTGGTCGGTTAACCGGCTGAAGACATTATTCTTCAGTTTTGATTTTAAATTTTCAAAAACCGACATTGTCGGTTCGGTTTTGAAACCGACCGAAATTGTCGGTTTTTAACCGATGAGCACCCATACTAATCATAATCTAACACGTGGTGATTTTAAATAAAATCATCACACCAAATCTCTTTCTCCCTCAGTATAAAAAATAAAAAATAGAGTTTTCACTGGTGGATTGTGGGGGGGAGAGAAACAGGCAAAACTCCTCCCCTAAATAAAAAAAGGATTCGGCCTTAGTAATTGGTTTTAGATTTAGATTAATAAAAAATTCACATGTTATTGTGAAAAATACTATTGTATTATAAAAAAGTTAAGAATTTTTATAGTATATGATTAATTTATATATAAATATTGATATATCTATATAATATTTTAATTAAAAATTTCTTACATTGTATTATAGCTTTTATATCTCTTTCAATCACACAACCAGTGCCTTTGAATCAAGCGAAAGCAACATTGCATATGGGTCTGATGAAGAAGAAACTCGCCGGGTCTGAGGAGGGAGGAAATATGTAATCCCACTGAAAGTCATTTATTTTCTGGGTTTCAAAGGGAAAAAAAACAGTAATCTAATTTGATCTTTTGGGGATATTTTCTGGGGTTTTAATTATCATGTAAAAGCAGGATTACGCATGTGTAATTTTGTTGATTGAGGTTGGTGGGATTAGAGATCAAATCGCATTCTTTTTTTTTTTTTTTTTTGAAAATGATCTGGGTTTGTTATGTTATGAATTATGATATGCCTTTGTTATATTATCCTCATTGAGAAACAATAAATAAGAGGAAATTTTAGGGAAAGTAAAGAGGAATTTATATATGGAAGTTTGGAATAATTTTCTACTAAAGGCCATTGATCTGATCTCAGAGAAACAATGGAGGTTTTTTTTTTTTTTTTTTTTTGTGGTAAAATCACGGTAACTAGGGAGATCTTCTTGTCAAAAACAAAAGGTGGAGTTGCTACTTCCATTTGGAAAATGACCACCCGTGCTTTTTATAGATGGCGTGTAGATCACATGCAAAAGATCATCCAATATATAACAAACGTTTTTTATTGGACTATTAATGCAACAATTTCAAAGTTAGAAGGCTGATTGCAAACATTTTTAATTTAAAGATCCATGGGATCCAATGCCAAAAAGCCTATATAATAATATGTGTTTGTGGGTTGTGGTTGAGGAAACTTATTATGATTAATGATAATTGGAAATGATTTCAATCGAAGAACGAAAAGAAATGGTATATCCCATTATGGGACTCAAGAAGTCGTATCCGAACAAGTTAACCGATGACATCTCAAGTTAGAAGTCTAGAAAAGCCCAAAGCAAAAGAGAGGGAAAAAAGGGTCTAATTACACGTTATTGCCTCCATATTTATTTTTTTGATAAGAAAAAACTTTATATTGAAATTCTAATCAATACAAAGAAAGTGGACAAGATGTCCTCAAAACAGGAAAAGATAACATAAAACAAAAACTAGTCTAAAAAATCAACGATCAAATTACGTACCCAATTCAAAATAATCAACATAAATGGAAAGCCTTTAAATTCTGCGTCTCATGCTGCCCAAAGCCAAAGCTGAAAACCTTTTTAAACAAATGGATGCATTTAAAACTTATTTTAAAATAATTTTATTTTTTTTATAAAAATAAAAATGAAAATATTTTCAATCTCAGATAAAAATTATTTTTAAAAATGCGTTTAGTAATTTTATTATGAGATTATTTTCAGTATAAAAAAAATCTATTAATATCTCTCTCTGTGCTTGAAAGAGAAAAAAATAAAAATAAAAAATAAAAAATGACTAAAAATTATTTTTCATTTCTCTTATATTTTATACTAAATTAAAAAATTATTTTTATTTTTATTTTTTATCTTTAATTATATCAAATACTTTTTTTTTTATTTTACATTTTTTTAAATATAAAAATTCCCACTTCTCTCCGACCTCAATCATAACAGAGATTAGCACAGCCTCCAAAAAAGTCGTTGACTAGTTGGCATAGATCCATAACAACATGACAGTGCAAAGTTTATGACACAATGCAAGTTTATAGATTTAAATAGAAATTTAAATTTATTTTAAATTTTTATTAAAAAAACACAATATAAAAAATATTTGAATTGGAACTTTTGATTTAAACTTACAGAATGGCTAGGATCTGTTTAGTTCACTGATTTAAATTTTTAATTTAAATTGATATATAATTTTATATGAGTGTTTTTTACTATAGTAAAAAAGTTAAATGTGACTGTTTTTTAAATATTTTTATTGTAATAAAATTTAAATTTTAAACTCAAATCGATAAAGTGAACAGGGACTCAACGTGTATTGTCTGTTTAGATTCAATAAAAAATTTTATTTTATTTTATTTTGATAGGTTCAACAAATAATTTTTGTGATCAATCCTTAGTCAAACTTGAGACATTAATGATTTTTATGCTTTGACTAACAATACAATTACGACCTTTTGGTGAATAAACATGTAATTCTCGATAAATTTAAATTGTTGTTTAAATATTTTTACTACAGTATTATTTCTCATAAAATTTAAATTTTTTTGTTCAAATTTATAAACCAAACAAAACGAACTAATAATCTGTTGTGAGCATTGTAGTACTTATTGTCTATTATTATCATTAGCATTATATAATTACGTTTTTTGGATGCAACAACACTAGTTACTTTTTTTTTAGGAACAACACTAATAACTTCCGGGATTTTTTTTTTTTGTTCTTTTGCCTTCCGCTTTTGATTGTGTATCCCACCCAATTAAAGTCTTTTATTGATAGTGGGGGTCTTTGGGAATGTCTTATTGCTTTTGTCCCTTCTATGTGTGACGTGATATTCTGTCTCTCTTGCTCTTGAAAATTTATTTTGGTGAAAGGAGTTTTTTCAATTCTAATTTTAAAAGAGCTCGTTCATAATGTGCTCAGATAATTTCCCATTTACAGACCTCAGATGTACATATGATCCTATGATGGGTTATTAGCTTCTACTGATAAGTCTTGTTCAGTTTGTTAATTTAAATTTTTAATTTGAATTTAAATGTGATTTTATGTGAAAATTTTTAATTATAATAAAAAAATTAAATATAATTTTTTATAAGAATTTTTAACTATAATAAAATTAAAATTAAAAAACTCAAATCGATAAAATAAATAAGACATTTGTTCACCGTCCAAAAAAATAGTCAAATGAAAATGTCAGGACAGAAGAAAAAAGACCAACTCCGGTGGTCAACAAAAATCGAAAGAACTTAACCGCAAAACCACACCGTCCAATGGGAAGACCGGTCAAAAAGGTCTTCCTCCCTCCGTCCTCATTTTATCCATTTCTGACTAATAATCCCCATTTCCCGACCTGGTAAAATATCCCACCAAACAATGGCATTTTCGTAACTTCAGTTATTCCTCAAGATCCCCAAAATCGAACCACCAGCCGTTGGATCGACTATCATACAAATCGACGGCCAGAATCACGCGTTTGACCGTAGTACAAAAAAGAAATATTTCAGCCTGGAATGATTGGCTTTTATACCAGTTTGACCGTAGAATTCAAAAATTGCTTAATATAAAGAAACGCAAAAATGAGAACAAGTTAATTAAGTAATAAATAAATAATTAATAACAAAACCAACCCGTAATGCTTTGCTTATAGAACACACAGAGGACAGGGAGAGAGAGAAAATCTGAGACGGACAGGGAGAGAGAGAGAGAGAGAGAGAGAGAGAGAGAGTTTTGCTTTTCTATTTTTTATTTTCTCAATCCTCATTTTCTCCTCATTTTTTCTCGGATTTTCCTTCATTTTTCATCTTGGGATTAGGGATTCG